CTTCAAACTTAGACTATTAGCATTGAGAGAGAGGCTGACCTTTTTACACACATAGATTTGCAGAGAGTTGGTTGGCCATGGGAGAGATTGAATATGGAGTTTACTTACATTGGATTTTTAGATTGTTTAGGGTTTCTAAAGATTTAGGTCTTTTATCATTTTTGGAAAGAAAATATTGGAAGAAATCAATAATTCTCATATTAAGTGAGATATATGTTTTTGAATTTTAAAATTCAAAAGTATAGATAATTAAAGTTTTTATTTTTATTTTTATCATAATAAATGAACTAACTAATAGATCTTTTTTTAAGCATTGATTATTTTTTTTTTTTTACGTTTTTAATGGACATGATTTTCTATATTAGTGGGATATTTAAATTTTTAAATTCAAATTTAAAGGATAATTAGAGTTTTTTTTTCTTAGTTGGGTTAACCAATAGATTTTTTTTTTAATTATTTAACAATATAACAATTCTAAAAATTCATGTTGAGAATTTAGAGCTTCCATAACTCTTATGGTTAAAACCTCCTTTTGCTTATATAATATATAGATAGATATGAGAGTACAAGATTCACTTTATATAAGTGAAATAATTCACTTTTTCTTTCGTCTCCTGATGTGGGATTATAAAATAAATCATATCATAAACTTATTAGAACTTTTATTTAAAATTTAAATTGTGTTAAACTGAATTATGCACAACACTCTAATATTAAATGCAAGTATAAGATTTACTTTATATAAGTGAAATAATTCACTTTTTCTTTTTTCTCCCGATGTGGGATTATAAAATAAAGAGATAATTACCTAAAAGTCCTATTAACATGTTTGGTTGTAGCTTAGGTCCTATCAAAAGTTTTTTGAACCAATAAGTCCCGTTTGTAGGTAAAAAGACGTGTTTTCCCTTTAACATAAACAATTGTATATAAAATTCCATTCACGTTATTTACTAGAAAGAAAAAAGAAATCAGTTAACAGATTAGTTATGGAAGTAGCTGAAGATTCGAATCGTGAACGATCTTGAAGGATTTATTGCTTTGGTTCGCTATTATATGTAATTGATTTCTCAATTTTGATTCGAATAGGAAAGTGTAGACACCCCATTTTTGACCGTCCTCAAGACTTGGACGTCACCGTTTGAACACTAGGTGATCATTCATGTTCGTGTTCGTCTTGAGTTCTCGGAGGTTTCGGTCGCGCGCCTTACCTCAAGACCTCTCGACTTGTTTGTTTTGTACTTGGTTGTATACCAAACACTTGTGTTTTTACTTATGAGGGCAGGGAATGGCTTGTTGGCCATCCCTACACCTCACCGGCCTTGGTTTGAGGCCACCGGCCCTGTTTTCTTGCTACCGGCCAACTATTTTGGTCGGTCGGCATTGTTTTTGGTCGGCCGGCCATTTTTGTTGGTCAATCAGCCATATTTTGCAGCTGACCCCTTTCCATCTACTTTTGGCAGATATTTTATACTAGCTGTCACAGCTGGCATCCACTTTACACCCCCTCCATACACGTGTATGGAGGGATTTGCCTCTTGGGTTAGCTTCTCTTAGAAGCTTTAGAATTGAACCTCTATAAGAGGAAAGCCCCTCCTCCCTCCTCCAGGGTTCAGAGAATTAGGGTTAGAAGTTTTATATCTATCTATCTCTATATCTCCCTCCCTTTTGATTTGTTTGTGTATCTTGTGCTCAAAACGTGTTTTTGTTCTTAGTTTTGCACTAAGACACCTAGTGTTACACCATCCTTGGTTGCTAAGGCTCTAAGGAGTTGTTGTTAGGATTCTTGGGCTGGTTTTGATCCAAGGAACTTGCTGGAGTTACTGTTCTTGAAGTGTTCTTCAAGGGTGAGAACTACCTCTTTTATTCCCCATTTTTGCACAAGCTTTTAACCTATCTTGCATCTGTTTTTAAGCTTAGCCATAAACTAATAAAAGTTCTAATTTTGTGTGCTATAGAACTTTGTTTAAGGTCACTTTGAGGTTTGGGGTTGTCTCCCCCCTCCAAGGCCTTGTTAGGCCTTGTTTTAGGCCATCCATTTTGGCCATTGTTTTGGTCTTTGCATGACCTCTCTACCACTGAAATCCAGAGGACTTTCAGTGGTGGAGAGGTGGTTTTGAGGTCCCAAATAGGAGAGGGTCACCCCCTCTCCATGTTGTCTTTGATGCTTGCATAAATGGCTTGTGTTGTAGCATGTTTGCCTTGCTTGTTTTAGCTCCATTTCAGTATGTATTACGTGTTATTTTGCCATGATATAGTACTGTTTTAAGTTGGTTTAGACATGCCATGTATGCTCCATACACTTGTCTTGTAATCCCATGTTTTGGCCTAACATGCATCATGTTGTAACATGTCTCTCTAGCATGATTTAGGCTTAGTTTCAAAAAGTTTTTATCCATGTTTTGGTATGCTTGAGGTCTGTTTTTGGTCGTTTGAGTCATCCATGACTTGCTTTGAGTAGCTACCATGCAATCTAGCTTGAAGGCTTTGAGTTTTGAACCCCCTAGCATGCATTACTTGGCTTATTTCAGTGATTTGGAGTCACTTACCATGTCATTTCAATCCATATGGCATGCTTGTTTACTTATATTTGATGCTCCTTTAGTGCCTTAAAGAGTTGTTGTTTTATGCTCCATGTTTAGACCATTGTGTATGCCATCATGTGTAGGCCATTTAGATGCCATCTAAGTGGGTTTTTGGTCTTGATTAGACCTGCCTTGGGACTGTTTTAGGTCCCCATGGCCCTTTTGGGGTTTGCTTCATATAGTCTTGGTTCGAGTCCCATGACTAGTTTCCAAATTTTGGGCTTGGTTGTGCTTTGCTTGATTTGTTTAGTTGGTTTGGCACCATTTCTAACTTAATTTCAGAGCTTACAATGTATGTCATTTGTCCATATTAGTCTCTTTTAAATGTGTTTAAGAGTTGCCTCTTTTATGCCTTAGATGATAGGCCTTTGTGCATGCATGTTTGCATATCTATTCCATGCTTTTGTTGCATCATATTGGCCACTAATTTTGGCATGCTTGAAAGCTACCCATGTTAGTGTAAGTCCATCTCACCATGTTGTTGCATGCTTGTTCATTTTTGCATGTTGTTGCATGCCATACATGTCCACATGATTAGGTTTTATGCCTATCGCGTATTGCATGTTAACATACTCATGTTGCATTAGATTTGTTGCACACTTGAGTTATTTGCATCCTTGCTTGCTTATTTAGGTTGCATTGCACGGTGCGTGCACCCCTTGCCTCTTGATCAAGCATGATAGAGGTTTGGGACCCTTATGTGTCTTTGTGCATTTCATTTGACATTAAATATGCATACTTGTCCTCTTTGGGCCATCATGCATTGAAATACGTGATTGATGGCCTGAGGGTTGAGAACCATGCTTCTCTAAGTCTCAAACATACTGAGGAGGGTGGTAGTGCATAAATTGCTTTGAAAATCCATCGCCATGTTCTGTCTATCCTCTATTGCAGCAAACCAGTGTTCTGTAGGAAGAAACGATCGGTCGGCAATTTTCAGTGCCGGCTGACTACCAAAATAGTGCCGGTGATCTAATTTTTTGTCGATGACCATAATTCCATGGCCGGTGGTGCTCTTTCTTGGTCGGTGGCCTCCCACAACTCTCAGGGAGTATTTCAGAAACAATTTGGGAACTTGTGCAGTCTTCAGAAGAGAAAAACAGTGCAAACAAAGGCAGCATGAGCATGGCGGTGGATTTCCGGGCGGAGCCGAGCATGCGTGCATTTATCCCTCTTCCCGAGGCTGCTTTATTGCTTTATTAGCTTAGTTAATTTGCTTAACTAGTTAAGTGGTCTGTAATAATTAATTAGCTAGAGTAGTTAATTATTTATTTGGTTTGTACTATTCTTTCGGTCCTTCCCTCGAGAGGGCACAATTGTGTAATAAGCGTGCTGTGTGTGATGCATGTCTTCTAACCCCCAATTCTTTCTCCCTTTTACTTAACCGCTTACAATGGTTAGTTCTAGGGCATGTTTCAATTAGCATCCGTATGCTATGCATGTTTGCATCATTCATCAATATTGCATGCACTGGGCTCGGCGCATCATACTAACTGCATAGTATTTCAATTCCAACTTGAATACGTGTATCGCGTTGTCACATCTCATATGCCATTTTAGATTAGCCGAGCCTATTCTAGTTACATTATGCCTGTGATGCATTAGCCATCTTAACATGGATTTGGATCACACATTTGATTACTAACACATTCCTTGTTTTGGCTCGGAGTACACTGTGAGTATTTATGCTTTAGCATCTTGCATGTATGTGAGTGCTAACATGACAACATGCTTGCCATGAGGCTAATTGCTTATGTGATATAACTGCTTGAATGCCTGTGGGTGAAGGTTGGGTTGCTTGAATTGGAATAATTCATTGAAATCCGTGTTTTAGCCTACTTACGAGTAACAAACTTCAAACCATTTCCAAACAAACGGATATGCGATGCTTTGTTCCAAATTAGGCGATTCAGTCTATACTTATGTGTTGTGCGCATCACATAGTAAATTCTAGCTAATTAACTAGAATAAGAGAAAAGGATCTTGAAGGATTTCTTAGTTTGGTTCACTTTTTGAGTTGAAATCTGATGGAGTTTGTTATGTGCGATTTCGATTTATAAATTGAAGAATTGATTTGCTGGTTATTTGATCTTCGATCTGGTTTATAGGTATGTATTGTTTCGATTTTGTATATTATGTTTTTTTAGAATTTTGATTGAATTTATTTATGAGAATATGTTGAATAATTTTGTTTTTACCAATTGAAGACGTGGTTTGTTGGATGATTTTTCGATATGGTTATTTATTTTATGAATTGAAAACGTGATTTGTGAAATATTTGTATTGTTATGAAGTTTTTTGTTCTGGTGTTTATTGTTATGACGTATTTGTGAAAACTGAGAAAGTTCTTGGTATTGTTATGAAGTATTTGTTCTGGTTTTTATTGATGCGATCTTTGTTTGTTGTTTAGATTGAAAGATGAGTGAAGGTTATATGAGTGCGCCTATTTTTTTGTTGTGCAAGTATAATGGTTACACATTTGCAATTAAGATTGATCAAAATGTTACATATGATCAGTTGGTTGAGAAGCTATGTTTGAAATGGGATAATTTGCAATCTGATAATATTTGTCTATCTTACTCATTGCCTGGACATCCTAATTGTATGTTGGACAACAATGAGGAGTTAGATTTGTTGTTGGCATTAGTTGTGCATTTTGATTCAAAGTGTACTGATGTTGTTATGAGAGTAAAAGACTCAACCATTGATTGTGGTTATCTCAACAAAAGATTGGATTATGGAGAAAGAGAGTCAATGTTGGATCTTGAAGTTTGTGATATTGCATTGTCTCATGACAGCAGTAAGTCTGTGAACTTGTCAAATAGAGCATCTACATCCTCCAAAAGGAATTCGAGGTTGTAGGTTGAAGAAGAGGTTGATATTGTTGGACAATCTTCACTGTATTTAAATTAATTAATTTTGTTGTGTACTAAACAACAACAAGAATATAAAGAAATAAAGAAAATGAGAGAATTTGTTTGATTACAAAAATCAAACTAGAAATAATAAATAAATAAAAACAGATTTTATTTTGTTACAAAAACAAAATTAAAATCTGATTTAATAAACTAATAAAACAGAATAATAAATTAAACAACTTACTTGATTAATTTCTTCTAATAAATACCTGATCAAGTCCAGTGTTTGACACATGTCCTTAAAATAGATTGGTCCTCTCCTCGGTGCTTTCAGAATATGGACGTCTATCTCCTAGGATGAAATGATCAACTACAAACAATAGCAGCACTACAAATTTTTGCCTAACGAACACACTAAGTGTTTATACTCTTTCTCACAAAAATTAAATGCAGCAAAATGAAGAATAAATTTACAGAGGTGAAGTACGAAATTTCTGAATGTTAAAACATCAAATGAGGGCTGTCCTATTTATAGATGTATTGGTGGCTACAGGTTTTGAAATAAACAGGTGCAAACCTGTTTGAACAGGTATGAAACCTGTTTAGTTTTGAATTTAAACAGATTTGAATCTGTTGAGTTCACAATTCAAACAGATAAAAACGAGAAGGGCCCTGTTTGGGTGTACAGTAAAAAGCGGACCAGTTTATTTTTGGAATTAATTTGAATTCTGGATTTTATTTTACCAAAAAATAAAATAAAATTCAAATGTTTTTGACCCAAAAAGATAGGTATTGGGCCAAACAAACCCAACCCAACTACACACCACGCACCCAAGCCCAGCCCACCCGACCGACCGGACGGACGGTGGCGGGGGCGCGCGCGCGCGCGCGTGTGGTGATTTTTGGGTCCAATGGGTCTAGCTCATTTTGCCCATAACCTCCCTCTCTAAAACACTTGGGTACCCCTTGGGGCACACCCCACGTTCCAATTCCATGCCTTATAAACCCATTCAAAACTTCCCACCAAATCAATGTGGGACAAGCCTTATTCAAACCTTTAAGGATTTTTCACCAAAACTCCATTTTCATGGAGCATACTTTGGCTTCAATTTTCCATTCACTCGGTAATGGTTTTGAGCAACCAAATATACCACGTGAATCACAACGCGGCATAGAACGCATTACTACTTTGACCCGCGAAAAACGACGCTTAGGTCCCACCTAAATAATAGACCAAACTTAGGAAAAAATTCTGATTTTACCCAGAATTTTATAACCATTTCCAACAGATATGTTATCATCATTTTGTCGACACAAGGAAAAAGTACTGTTGTCTGCTGGTTGGGTAGTTAGTATTACACATGTAGGACATAAATTTGAAGGTGGAATTGTTGAATTTCGTAATGCATTGTCGAAGTTTTCTATTGAGTGTGGATTTGAGTTCATATTTGTTAAGAATGATAAAGTTCGTGTCACTGTACAATGTTTGTTTAGAGAGACAAAAGGTTGTATGTGGAATGTTCATGGTAGAGTGGAGAATGCTAATAGGTTCTTTTATATAAGGAAATTGAACAATGTCCACACATGTGGTGCTGAAGTACGTACGATGAATCATTCTCGTATGAGTTCTGATTTAGTTGCTGATTTGATTGTTGAAGGTGTTCGTGATAATCCATTGACACGTCCAGTTCATGTTGTTCGGGATTTTAAGTTGGGGTATGGGTTGAGAGTTAGTTATCGTCAAGCTTGGTTGGGGGTAGAGAAAGCAAAATGTGAGATTTTTGGAGATTACTTAATGTCATTTGACTAGTTAAGATGGTATGTGGATGTTGCAAAAAGTTGCAATCCAGGGAGTTACATTGAGTTTGAGTGTGACGATGATACTAAACGGTTTAAGAGATTATTTGTTGCTTTTCATGGTTCTATTAGTGGATTTGATTATTGTCGACCTCTCTTATTCCTTGATGGCACATTTTTGAAGGGAAGATTTAGAGGAAATTTACTTGCTGCTACAGGAAAAGATGGAAATCAAGCTACAGAAGAAATCTGTTTTCTCTGTTCTGAAATTGAGAAAGTTCTCAGTTTAGAAATATGATTGAATGTTTTAAATTTTATATAATATTGTTGTTGTATATGCATTTTTTATTTTTTCAGTTATTCATTTTAGTGTTTGATATTTTGAATGTTAAAGTGTTATCATTTTCTAAGAATAATAGAATATTTTCATTTTTTCTGTTTTGTACATGCAGGGTTCTTTCCTGTTTGTTTTGCAGTTGTTGGCTCAGAGAATCAAGATAACTGACGTTGGTTTTTAGAGCATTTGAGTAGAATTGTTTCACAAGAATGAAATATTACATTTGTGTCAGATCGTAACCTTGGATTAGTTGAAGTGTTGCCAAAGGTTTTCCCAATGGCTTTCCATGCTTATTGTTGTTATCATTTGAAGATGAACTTGAGGCATCATTTGCGTGGTATGTTTCATGGATTGAAAGAAAAACTGATCACTTTGTTTGGGAAATGTGCATATGCTCCAACTGAAGAAACATTTCATCAATGTTTGGTTGAGTTAAAGACTGAAGGTGGGTCAAGAGTTGAAAAGTTTTTAGATGACATACCATATGATCATTAGAGTAATGCATATTTTCAAGGGCAACGCTTTGGAGAGATGTGGTCAAATGTAGCTGAATATTTCAATTCGTGGATACGAGAGGAACGCCACTTGCCTATCACAAAGTTGATTAATAGTGTAAGAATTAAGTTGATGAGGAAAATTGCTAAGAGGAGGGAACTTGTTAATAAATGGAATGGTTTGATATGCCCTAAAATGGAGTCCAAGTTGCATGATGGTTTTAATACTTCGAGGCCATGGATTGTTAGTTCATCTGGAAATGATGTCTATGAGGTGCATTCACATCCATCTGTTTCAGTTGACATTAGTAGACGAATATGTTCTTGTGGCGAGTGGCAGTTGAAAGCGTTTCCATGTGCACATGCAGTTGGTGCTATACAAAAGAGTGGATATGATTTGAGTTTATTTGTTGATCAATACTTCTATGTTCAAAGTTATCGAGAGTCTTATTCTTTTCCCATATATCCTATTCCTTCAATTTGGAAACCAGATTGTAATGTTGATGGTGATAGTGAAGTTGTTATTCCTCATTTGTCTAAGAAGCAACCAGGAAGGCCAAATAAGAAGAGGATTCGTTTGAATGGTGAGAAAGTAAGGCAAATTACTTGTAGTAGATGTGGGAAGGTTGGCAATCACAATAAGAAATCGTGTAAGGAGGCTTTGTGTAACGCCCTCAAAATAATACATAACTCAATCATACATAAGATCCATAATCATAAAGAAATAATACATTTTCGTCCATTAGAGTCTTCTTACAAAAGATGTTACATGTTAACAACAAAAGTAGATTCCCTACGGGCTTACAACTTTCCAAGTTAACACTTGGTTACAACAAAAGAGGGTCAGAATCCCTTTACAAATAAAGCCCTCGACTTGGAAATAAAAAAACATATAAGCATAAAAGTAAAACAACAAAACAGAGACCTCAACCCGAGACCTCCCAAGCTAAGACCTTGGAGGTGGCATGTCCCCTGTACCTGAAAATGGTGTCCCAAGTAGGGTGAGCCAAGGCCCAGTAGAGATATGCTAAACCAAATATGAGAAATAACTAAAACATTAGCATCTGATAAATGTTCAACACTTGTGCATCGATACACACCATTTTGTTTATAATCCACCAACATTGATATTCATCTTTCAACCTAGTTTCATTTATATTTCCGATTCACTTTATTAACATGGTTTGCTTATCCAAGCAATTCAAATGAGACTACAACTCATAAAATAACACTTCAATTCATCAACAATTCAAAATGAGACTACAACTCATATTATCAACACTTCAATTCATTAACATCATTCAGATGTGTAAAAGGTTTCATGACTTTCACCTTGGACACTCCGGCCAACTTAATTATCAATGGAGTCTATCCCCTATCTCCTCCCAAACAGTGGAGTACATCCCCTATCTCCTCTCAAACCATGGAATACATCCCTTATCTCCTCCCAAACAAAGATACATATGCAATGTATTTAAATACTTCATCATATACAATGATCAATTAATGCACATATTCATTGTGTTATTCCAACTGTCATATTCAATGACATAATTCAATCGATTGGTTTCAATTTACCTAATCATCAGGCAGTGTCTACAACAATCCTCCAACGATAGCCTAAAGCAGTTATCTCTAAACAGATAAATAGTTCTATCAACAGATAATTTATTACATTTTCCATCGGTGAGTGATTCATCAATCCAACTATACCAACTAGTCCCAATTCCGTCCAATTTCATGATTTTCAAATCAATTTCATATTCCTCACAATTACCAAATTAATTATACAAATTAATTATTTAAATTCAATTAGGGCATTTTCCCATCTTTTCCAAACATTGATCCTAAGACCAAATTTCACCAATTAAACCCACAAATCCCCATTTTCAAGACCTCATATGCACATGGAGCTTAAAAACACAAAACCCCTCTTTTAAATACTACAAATCTCAAACGCTAACTTCTCAAAATTTTCAAATCACACCATTTATACAAAATGACTAATATTTATGTTAAAACACATAAGAAGGAGTAGTTTATCCCTACCTCAAATGGAGAGACTCAAAGGAATAGAAGGATGAAACTCAAGATGCTCCAAATCCCAACTTTGCCGGATCAAAACGTAGCCCACGCAAAGCTCAAGCTTTTATACAAAGGAAGTAGGGTAGGAGAACTCTAGATCAAGAGCATTTGTAGAGAGAAGGGATACTTTAGAGAGAGAGGCAGCCGTATTAGGGTTTGGAGATAAAAAGATATCAAAAAGTGAAGAAGAGAACTGCTGCTGCGATCTGATATATGCGAAGCTCGCTTGAGTGAAGAAGTGGTCGCTCGAGCGACAAGACACAACAAACACCTCGCTCGAGCGCACAATTCAAAGCTTCAGGTCTGCAACCCAGACGCACGCTCGAGCGTAAGAGTTCTCGCTCGAGCGAAGGAACACAAAACATAGAGCTCGCTCGCTAGAGCGACAAAAGCCTTGCTCGAGCGCAAGAGTTCTCGCTCAAGCTAAGAGACACATCAAAGAAAGCTCGCTCGAGCGCAAGAACCTTCACTCGAGTGCAGAAGCAAAAACCCAAGGCTCGCTCGAGCACAAGAAGCCTCGCTCGAGCGAAGATGTCAAATTCTAGACAGCAACCATTTGTTCCAACTCACAACCAACCTGTACCAAACTCACCCAACACGTCCCAAAACTCAAATGCAAAGGATTTAAAGGACGGAAACAAATATAGACAACAACAACCATGACGAAACCGAAGTCCGAAACAAAATAAATGACGAGGAAAACCGGGATCGCTATAATTCGTGATTTTTTGTAGCTGTTTTGTAATTATAAAAATTTCGTATTCATAAATTTCTTGAAGTAACAGTTTGTACTGTTGAGCGCTGAGTAATAATCTTCTATGTTTTGAATAAAGTGACATTGAATTAAAAGTGAAAATATTCTTAGTTTCAAATTTTAATTTTGAAATTGTTTGTGATAATATTGTTTGGTTGGCTTTCGGAAATAAACTTGACTGTTGAATGTTTGTTTTGAAGATTATGTGAATACTGTATAAAAAGTGAACATATTCTTAGTTTAAGTTTTTAGTTCAAAATAGCTGATTTTGTGATAATAGTGTGAGGCTCTTGTTATGAATTGGAACTAGTTATAAATGTGATCAATTGAATGAATCTGAATTAATATTCTAACTAGATGTGGTCAATGCTCTATGTTTTGATTAAAGCAACAGTGGATTGAAAGCGAAAATATTCTTTGTTTTGAATTTTAGTTTTTCAAATTGTGATAATATTGTGAGGCAGCAAATAAATTGTTGTGATAATATTGTTGTTTGAAAATTGAGTGATCTGTATAAAATTGAAAATATTTTCAGTTTTAAAGTTTCTAAGTTTGAAAATAAGTGATTGTGATAATATTGTGAGGCAACAAAACAGTGCATAAAAACTGAAAATATAAACAAAAACATCAACAAAGCATTGATTGTGATACAGTAAAGTCTTGTGTCCACTATTTTCACATGTAATACTATTTTCACTTTTCCCATATAGTAGTGTGAGGAACAGGATAATAGAAACTGAGAATATAGACAAAAACATCAACAAAGCTCGGGTGCATATATCTTTGAGAGTATGACAAAATATTCCATTACACATCATAGAAATTGTAATATGTTTGTTAGGTAATATGCTTGGAACTATTAACAAAAACATTAGTCATTGTATCAGAGTGTTACAAAAGAGAGTTCATTGAGTTACACATCAAAAACGATTTCATTGAATGTTGCAATCTTGACTCTACTTGACTCTGATTAATCTTTGTGGATCACTGAGGAACTCATGTACCATGTCTGCTCTGAGTCTTGTCGATGTGCCTGGTGGTAATGTGTTTGGAATTGGTTGATGCCTCATGTATTGTCTTATGATGTAGCAAACAATAATTCCACAGTTATTGCTGCAGAAATCATTTTTGACACAGTTAAGGAAAAAACAAATTTTTTTTGAAAAAGATATTAAAATTTGTTAGTTAGAATGAATTAACATACATCATTGCTTCTTGTTGAAGGCTGTCTTTGATTGATTCAATCTTGACATCAGGATTCCATGCTTTTTCTACTTGACAATGTGTATCCTTTATGTATTGATGGATGATTTTTTTGCTGTAAAAAACATTAATATAAAGTATGTAATGATTTACATCTGATTATTGTAATGGTAATCTGAAATTGTTCTTACCAGTTGATTTGCAACGTTGTAGTGCTTGTCCTTTCCTTTTCTTGGTCTCAAAGAGTTGAAATGTTTCCAAGTCCCCAAGTGTTTGTTGATAACAAGTAATGTCCAATGATTGAAATTGTGGATGGGGATATGGATGTATGTACATGGGAGGGATTCTTGCAAAGTATTTTTCAAAATCTTTTTCCTTTGTTCTGAAGTTTTCTTCTTCAACATTGGCTGTTTTTTACAAAAAATATGTGAATATTCACAATAATGGTACGAACTCAATATTCAAATGTCGATGAAAAGGAACAAAACATGATTAACTACGATTTATCACTCAAATTGTTTTGAAATCTGAGTATATTCCCAGCAATGATATCAAAATCAAAATTTGAGAACATTCACAACAATGATAACAAACACAAAAAATGTACTTTGAAACCAAAATTGAACAGAAGATAAAGTATAGAATTGACACATGAACATTTATTCCTTACCCAATATAGACTTGACAGGATGAAAAACTTGCCATTGTGCTCTGCTCCATCACCAGAATTTTGTGCTTGTGGTTCTTTTTCAAGAATCTCAGCATATGCATCAATTGCCTATCAAATTGAAACACAAAAGTGATGTTAACAAATTAATGAGAAGTTTTTCAGTATTAGAATATTACAAATATTATACATACACAGCTGGATATGTTTATCCCATTTACCAAGTTCTTGATATCATTAATAAACACACAATTCTCATATCTTGCGCCAAACCATATACAAGCACTGCAAA